ACGTTCCTTTTTGCTGTCCTAATTACTTTGAGCCATCACTTCGGGTTTCGTGTATAAGCGAACACAAACAGGCCTATACAAATACAAAGACAGACACACTCACATGCATCGAAGTTGACATATGACCTTAACTAACGAAATCACTTTATACTTGATCAAAGAGGCCAGATGCAGAGTATATAACCACTTTTTAGGGATTTACCGGTGAGTTTTCTTGACTCGTTAGCTTGAATTTTGTTGTGACGATGTTACCTCGCTCTGAGGATTTCAGTCATATGACGGACGAAAGCTTAGCACCTTTTCACCGGAATCGAAGGAGATTCCCTCGGAAACAGCGTCAGCCTGAATCTTCCAGTAAAGCCAATCGACAGCTGGTCAAGAGGAATCCGCCGTCGTTTTCTGGTTTAACCGACCTTCGAATCTCTTTACCCAACACTTTCACTCGAAATGGAAGTAAGCTCAACAATCATGAAACAAGAGATTCCTCAAAACCCAACTTTTCTTGGCAAAATGTCATGATACTCTTAGAAAACCGTGGTGCATTTTTCTTCCAACTTTATCTTAGTCATTATTACCTTACTCGAGCAGAAACAGCGCTCTCAATCTCTATCCTTTTTAAGAACTATGTGCTAAATTTGCTATTACTCTCTTATTCCAGTCTAACCCATCGAATACCTTCAAGGTTATTAACCTTTATTAATCGAACAATAGGCAAGTTGCAACAATCTAAAAAAACGGAAGAATAAAGATTCTAGAGGCGCAAGAATAAATGCCAGAACGACTTAGGTTATTTCAAGAATAATAAAATTTAAATTAAATAGGCAATTGAGACATTAATAGGCATTTGTAAGAATGGCTGGAAAGGTTGGATTCCCTGAGGAGCGTATCAGACAAATTCTTAATTTAAGGAAGGCCTGAACTTACCCTATCAGGAACATCCAAATACCTGTGGAAAGTTTATTGCTCAAAGATAGGAAAGCCTAGCTAAATATGTGGGAAGCAATGTAAGGAATAAATATCCAACATAAATGAGCAATTGTTTTGAACTGTCATTTTGTGATAACTCAAGGCCACGCACTGAAAATCATTTTCAAAAATCATGTACCTTCAATGGCATACCTTAGATCCTTTCGTAGTGGCGAAAAAATAAGCTTTCCTTAGCTGGCTTGTTTACACCTTCCAAATTTTTCACCCCTCTGCTTTTCTATTTTTTATGAAAGCGCATATACTGATCTCTCTAATTAATATTTCATGCATGTAAATATTTTAGTGATCTAGATGCCTCTGAAAGTATATAATTGGTTTCTTGATACAATCTTGAGTTACACTGTCTTATATATAAAGAAGGAAAAGCGAGTCACGGAGTACCTTGTATAGAACATCCAAAGTTATAGGGTAATCTTCAGAGTGGAACGACAAAAACAACGGCCGCATGTGACCTTAGTCCGAGAGCATAGTGTGAGGACACAGAAGGGCTCGAAGGACAAGCAATGTGCTGAAAATAACAGTGTTTCTTGCTCACAATACTTTAAATAATATGTTTCGAATGGCTCAACTGGGAGACTAGATGCAGCTAATAAGTTTTCTTGGTCGCCGTGGAACAGAATGAGGTTGAAAGATTATTGTTTATTGGATAAGTATTTTGATAAATGTGGCAAAATTATACATGCAATGATTGACTATGACAAGAAAATGGTTTAAAAAAACTGTTACTATAGGGTATAAGCCACTGTAATATCTTTTAGCCTTTTTTTATACTAAGAGCTTAAAATACTTTAAATAATTTTTTGTATTCTTTTGCTCGTAGGATCATAACCAGTGTCTAGTACTTTAGCATTAAGATAAGAATTGATTGATTTATCATAAACTAAATTAAAGTATTAATTATATGCAAAGTCCTCTAGTAAATCTTCCTGCTTTATTTTGGAAATTTTCACTGTGATCTAGTTTTCCTGTCTACATTACACAAGAATTTTATCACTTTTTCATAACTCCTTTTAGGCTTGGTCAACTTCAACAAGCAGAACTAGAAGTGAAAATCAAACATTCCCCTCCGTTCTACCCAGTAGCTTTTTGCAACAGCAAGAGTTGCGTTACCAACTCGAGTTTGCCCGCCTACTGGCAGATCTTACCGAGGCCACCGCTTCTCTACTTTTTACAGTAATAATAAGCCTTGTTGTTGCTTGCCCCTCCTCACCCAATTCAAAAAGAAACGCCCTATTTGCACGCTTGGACGATTTTTTCTCTGGAAGTTCATACTATCTTTTCGAAGGCCTGCTTGATAGGTTGGTGACGAACGCTTGTGCTTGTCTGGGCGATGCTACTCGAACAAAGGAAGATCAGTTAGGGAAGTCAAACGAATCTATAATTGAGATTAACGAAGAATGCCCCAGCGTAATGGTCAAACGCGTGCTTTCGATCACGCGGGCGCTTTTCGTAGTTGACTGGCTGACTAACAGATATCCAGCTGCTCGCACCTCCCTGA